GAGGTTGGTTGGGAGGAGACAACATGGCTCAGTCGGTAGAGCATGCGATTCTTGATCTCAGCGTTGTGGGTTTAAGCCCCAGGTTGGGTGTAGAGATTACCTAAAATCTTCTTAAAAAAATGACTGTTGGGTTTCTAGGCTGGATAGGACTTGTGGGTGAGTATTGATGGTATGTCAGTGCTATTGCTGAGGTGGGGAATGTTGGAAAGAATGGACTTGGGAACTGGGAGGAGAAAAGAATGGATTCAACTTTAGATAATGAGCTGCCGTTCAGACAAGAAATTTAGGTAAAACTGCTGAACCTGTGTGGGGTTTAGGAGATCTAAGTCAAGAAAAATAAACTTGAGTGTCTTCAGGACACAGGAGACTACCCTTTGTGGCCTCAGTTGCCCTCAGTTCTTGTTAAGTTGTCCAATTTGGTTTTAATGAGAATGTGAACATTTAGAGAAGGCAACAACAATTTCAACTTAATCCTACTTCCTATTTATAAAATTTAGAAGCAGAAATATGAAGGTTTTCGTCTTTCAAATGACTTCTCATGTGTTTGAGATCATTCTTGTTATCTGAACTAACACAAAACTCCCATGTATTTTCTCCTCATGTCTGTTTGTTACCCTAGGCCCTCATCTATGTGTTTTCTTTTTGTTGCCAGTCATAAGAACCTCGTTTTAGAGGCAAGACTGATAAGAAGCGATTAAAACCACAAGTCTTATCACACTGTGCCACACTTCATATTTTTGCTTCCATTGGTCACCCTCCAACATGTATATCACCTCCTCCTCCCCCCGCCACTATCTCATATGCATCTTGCTGTCTGAGCTCTCAATCAGTAGATGCCTGCTGAACCAGGGAACCAGAAGTTAGGAGGAGACAAGTAGCACAAATCTTAGGATAGCAGATTATGTGTTACACTGTATGCCCTGGGTGGTTTTGAACACTGACTGAACAAGCTTCTGTGTGCTGTGTCCTTGCCCTACACATGCATCGTTATTATAAGAGGGCAGGTCTCATCTGCTTACAAGATAAGTGCAATTCCCATTCATTCCGTCTCCCTCCGTGCCAGTCACACGTAGGCATACAAAATTTATCTACTTCCGTTCCTTCAAGTTACACAGCCTATCACAACATGCTGTAGTAATAAACATGTGGAAGCTATTTAAGTTCAGCTAATTTAAGGAGCAGTTACAAGAAAAAGATTTGCCAAAGAGGTCTCTGTAGTGAGCATCTCTCCTAAAATAATTGCTTGGCTTTAAAACATGACATTTGTATACATTTCAAGAATAGAGGCATCTGGAAAGGAGAGGCCTAACAGAGGCTGTGGCGTTCTGGGGAGACATGTTTCTCCTCTCGCTCCTCAGCGGGATCTAGGTGGGTTTCCAATTAGGACAAAGACGGAAAACCAACAATCAGAAGCAACTTTATCCAAGATTTTTGACCATAGTTACTGCTCATAAGCTCAAGGGTTCTACTTGAACTTTTTTTTTTTTTGGATGTTGAACAGAAAACACTTAAAGAGTTTCACTTCTATGTTATTGCTTTTGTCATCTGAGTCCATTTCCAGCTCACACTTTAAACTTTTGCTGGCCTCTGGAAAAAAAACCTCATTTTCCGTTTTTGCAGTTAAGAGTAAAATTTCATTTACTTACTATAACAACTCAGTTCTAATTGATACTAACACATTTCACGTATATACATTTTGCAGTATGTCTTGGGGGGTTTGGGGAGGGGGGTGTGATGGCAACGCTCAGGTTGTGGTTAAACCACAATGTAGAGAAGCCACCTACCTAGTAAGTGTCCTTTTTTTGGATACTTTTTGATGGTGCAGACAGTTCCTTCCACAGCATACATCATGTTTTCCTAAATGTAAATGTTACATGCATCTTCAGGATTTCCTAGCAATTTTAGGCTTTATATATTTACAGCATAAAAAAAAGAACAGAAAAACCCAGATCTGTTGGTCAAATGAAGTTTTCCTCTCAAGCATCGTACTACACCTGTGCTGCAAATTTGATGCAAATTTCTCCATAGGTTCAATATAGGAAAGCCTAGGAGACCAAGAATTGCACAGGAAACCAAGAGATGTCAGCTGCCTGGGAGTTCCGCTATGGACTCACCAGGTAACTGATTTGGGCAAAGTCACTGATTCTCCTCACTTACACAGACTGAATTGATCTAAGCTCCCATAGTTATTGTTGGGCACACAAGACTTCTGCAAATACCTGGTATACTTTACTGTTTATGCTTCCATAACTCGTTATACTTTTAAGGTTTTTTTTAATTTTTTTTTTTAACGTTTATTTAT